ATGAGAGTCGGTCGAGGGCTTACTCTCAATAGATCGCAGTGTGGTGGCTGCTCTACTAAGTAAGACACCCCGTGCCTGAAGTCAAGTGGTCTACGAGAGATCCCTCGTCTCACGCTCCACGGAGGTGGGGATCAAAATTTGACGGCGACGGCAAAATCCCGCCTGTCGCGGATGTCAAATCGGGTGGCCCATTCGCGGACGCCGCCACGTGCAAGGCGACAACAGCCGAAGTAGCGGACGCACACGGCGACGACGAGCGCCACCGACGCGGACCACGACGACCGCAACCGCCCTAGCGACGACGACACCCGCTATGGCAGGCTCCAGCGGAACGAAAAAAGAGACGCTTCGTAATACCGTGACGGCACCGGTCGCGGTTCCGGCTTAGAGAGCTTTTCAGCCGTTATCGCGCGGAGGCAGCGTGGCACCGCCGCTCGTTCGAGCGAGCACGCGAACCGTTGCTCCGATCCCGCGGTTCCTCTCCTCGTACTGGACGGGATAGCCGTGGCCACGGCCGACGTAACACACGTGCCGATCGGTAGATAAAACTAACCTGTCTCACGACGGTCAGAAAGCAAGCATTCTCACTACTCGGCCATGTATCCACCACCACTACTACTATTAGTAGTGGTAGGCTCACTTGAATTCAAAAGCGACTCCGAGTCATTGCTGAAGAAGAATTATCCCCCGACCCCCAAACTCTTTCTCACGGGTGCGATGTGGTGAGCCTTTTACTGTTCTGTCACTACTTCCATGGAAAGTGCTTGGAAAAACGACATACCTTGGTTCCGCCATGTCTAATCTTTACGGCTAGGATCCGCCATGCGACTTGTATTGTCCAGCAAATCACTCAAACAGTATCTTCTCGCGAAACACTGCCCCGGGGGACAGACTCGTAGAGCAGATGTCGGCAATCAACAGCACACGTCCCACAGGTGACACGTCAAGCAATTTCCAATGGCACACAGCCGCTAATGACATCACGACGACTGAACCAATAACTGCTACAACGCAAAGAAGATATTTAGCTGTTTCAATTTTATTATATACTAAAGTATATATATTATATATCAGTATTTAAAATATATTATAGAACAGGTATATTGATTTTGATTTGTATAAAAATACGTATGCTGTTGGCACACTGAATGATTTTAAAACCCTAAGTCGGCACATAGTTAGAAAAAGGTTTGCTGACCCCTGGTCTAGACTACAAAAATCAACTACTTATCCGGACAACTTAACGTGTAATAAACCCGATGACAATTTTGTAAACCTATTATCGTCGTTTTTATTGAATATTGATAGATTTGCCATCCGGGTATCCTAGTATCGTAATTACCATATAAACCAAGGGTCGGCAACCTATGTACCACGTGATGCAATTTCCAATGGCACGCAGCCGCAAATGATATCACGAAGTCTGAACCAATAAATACTACAATACAAAGAAGATATTTAGCTGTTTCAATTTTATTATATACTAAAGTATATATATACTCTATATTACTATATAAAATATATTGTAGAACAGGTATATTTACCTTGACTTGTATAAAAATATGTATGCTGTTGGCACACTGACTGATTTTAAAACCCTAAGTAGACACATAGCAAAATGTTGCTGACCCCTGCTCTAGATGACCAATGATTGGCAGCCAATCTCATCTCTTGATTAGCTCTAACATCTTAGTGGGGGTGGGGGAACTGTTGTGGGTTTTCTAACCCAGTGGTCGGCAACCTATGGCACACGTGCCACATGTCACATTAAGCAATTTCCAATGGCACAAAGCAGCAAATGTCATCACAAAATCCGAACCAATAACTACTACAATGCAAATATCTTTAGCTGTTTCAAAACTGCTTACTTGTTGGACTCCCATTGATAATAAAAACTTAAAAAAAAAAATTAAAAACTGTTTCTTTTTATTAATGTGGTTTTGCATATTATTGTATGTATTACTATATAAAATATATTATAGAACAGGTATATTGACTTTGATTTGTATAAAAATACGTATGCTGTTGACACACTGAATGATTTTAAAACCCTAAGTCAGCACATAGCAAAAGGTTTGCTGACCCTCTGTCCCAGAGGATGTCTCCTTGATCATGACAAGTCTAGAGTTAACCGCTATTTTCTCTTTTTACCCGTATAAACTACACCTTAACGTAACCCTCTACCTCGAGTGGCTCTCGGGCCTTGCACTATTACCACTACTATTAATAATGATATTTTTTTCTTATTTGCCGTTTACAATCTATATGAAATGATTTGCTTTTCCATTTTCTTTTCATAATTTTACTTTTGACATTTTTGTCATTTTTATTGCTATATTTTAACGAGCGTGTTTCAGATATTTCGTTTATAATTTGGGGTGGCTACACAATCTTCTATGGTAAAAAAATTCGATTTTTTTTAGTATCGCCGATGATCCAACGTCAGCAGGAAAAAAAGAATTTTATTTCTTCTTTGTGTACATCGTCCACTCAAAACATGGTCGTCCACAGCTCTCCACAACTTCCTGTTTTTAACACCTTTGTCCTTGTTCTGCTCTTCCTTCGCAAAATTTACTGTTTCCCCCTGCTTCTATAGATTTCAGAATGTGTTGTGAGTGTTAGATTCTCCAAGCCCTCTTTCCTTATTTCAACCGTCTTGTTCTGATTAAATCGCCCTAGGATCTTTCTTCAACTGTGAAGAGATTCTCCCCAGTAGTCATTGCCTTATAAAAGATTCGATAAAACACAGTGGGTTTTTTAAAAATTTATTTAAAAAATTTCCTATCTCGTAATACTTTGCTTAGTTTCTGGAAAGCAACTTTTGCAACTTCTATGTCAGTTTGGAATATCCCACAAGGAGAAAATCTACGTTAGCGACACGAAACACGATTCCCGTTAAGCGAACTAAACGATTGATTTTTTTTTTCAGATCGTTATTATTAGGAAAAAGTGTCCGATTTTAGAATAATATTTCGTATTTGTTCCTTATCGTATCATAAATATATTTAATACCTTTAATCGCTAGTTCATCTACAGTAAATATGCGTTCACGTTGCTACAACGTCTCACAATTTTTGGCAGGTCTTTTGTTATTTATTTATGTGGGATATTTAAATACAAAGATGGTTGAAAGAAAAACTGCGTCTCTAGTTGACGCGCATGCGCAGTCACGACAACGTCAGCAAACCCAGTCCGATGAAGTCCTAACGGATGAAACGCGTCACAAATACATTTTTTCCAATTTATCATGCATCTTTTCTTTCAAAACTGTTCTTGATATATCAAAATTTATATATCGTTATCAAACACACACGACACACACACACACACACACACACACACACACACACACACATATATATATATATATATATATATATATATATATATATATATTTAAACATATATTGTTACATATAACAGACAATGAATGTCTATTATGTTTGATCAGGAGCCGTTCTAAATTTCGTATATTTGCTTTCATTTCGGGTGAAAATCTTCTATGTCAACATAACAGAGCATCAATTTTGATGGGTAATATATTTGTTTAAATGTCCGTATAACCACTCAACCACTCTGAAGATGGCTCATGAGAGTCGAAAGCTTAAATCAAGGACCAGCTTAATGAAAAAAATATCCAAATGTTGGGCAATTTTTGTCTTTATTTTCACCTGAAATTAAAGTAAATATACGAAGTTTAGAACGGCTCCTGATCAAACATAATAGACATTCATTATCTGTTATATTTAACAATATATGTTTTATGCATACATACATACATACATACATACATATATATATATATATATATATATATATATATATATATATATATATATAAACCATATATATATATATATATATATATATATATATATATATATATATATATATATATTATAATCTTTTCACCCCAGGCAAGGTAACAAAGCCACTATCACTTAGGGGGTTACTGAGTGTGAAAAGATATAAGAAAAACATTATTAAGGCGAGGGAACAATAAAAGAATAAATATTAAAAAATAGGAGAAATATACTATATTTAGAACGGCTCCTGATCAAACATAATAGACATTCATTATCTGTTATATTTAATAATATATGTTTAAATAATAATCTGTTGCCGTAATACAATATATATATATATATATATATATATATATATATATATATATATTAGTTAGGAAAAACTTGGTAATCCGTATGGGTAATCCCAAGGAGGATGAAATTTTGAGCTAATAATTTAAAGAAAGACAGACCATTTTTATGGTTCCATTATAATAATTTATTTCACCAGAGACCTTTCAAAAGACTCTAGATCATCAGACATCACTTCCAAAAAGTTGAAACGAAAATGAAATGAAAATCTACACTTTTTATATATATATATATATATATATATATATATATATATATATATATATATATATATATATATATATATATATATATATATACATACCAACAAAATATATACCAGCAAGATTATGGAAAAATGAATCATAATATATATTTAAAAAAAAATACACGTTACAACCAAAAACGTTTGTAAAACATGTAGAATTTCGAATTGAATAAAATACATTAACTGCTATATATATATATATATATATATATATATGGAATTAATGTATTTTATTTAATTCGAAATTCTGCATGTTTTACTTTAGTTGTTAAAATTTGTAACATTTAGATTTATCTCCTTTGTATTGTTGACGCCGAATGGCAGTGTCTTTGTCAAGGTAGAGACGGTTCTAAGATATTTACAATGCCAGGCTGTAGAAGAGGGAAAGGGTACATAGTAAGAATTGTAACTGACCAATTATACTTACAAGACTAAAAATCCTAGTAATTGTCAGAATAAGCCGTCATTTTTATGGCAAAGTCCAACTAGTATTCATACAAGATTCTACTGGATATAAAGTGTGATGGTGGGGGTCGATTTTCTGTTGTTATTAAGTAATAAACTGATCCCCAAGAAATTAGATAATCCTTATTAGCCAAAACGCCGGTTTCCTTACGATCACTGAAGTTAAGCAATGTTGAGCCTGCTCACTAGCTAGATGGGTGACCGCTTGCGAATACCAGGTTCTGTAAGCTTAGATGTACGTTTCGGGTAATGGATAATGGCTCAGAATTGTTAATCGGAGAGACGAGTTCTAATTCCAGTTGGGTTTATTATATTCACTTACGCGCAAATGCCCTTGGGGAAGGTATGAATCCACCTCTTCTCCCCCAGCTATGGGTTCATTAGCAAGATTTGTATCACTAAACTATCATTATCTAAATAAAAGAAAAAATTCTTACAATCTAAAAATATTTTCTGGCTTTAAATAACCTACAAAGGGTTGATAAGCCGTAGAAAATCCAGAACCAATGAATCAAGAAAATTGCGCCGTCAGTGATAAAAGAACGCTTCTATTTGTGATTTGGCGAACGCTTCGAGGAATTTTTCATACAGTAAACTTCAAGTTAACGTTCTTCGATTTAAGGAATATCGTATTTAGGGGATATCGGATTTAGGGAATATCGGATTTAGGGAATGTCGATTTTTAAGGAATATCGGAACATCGGAATCAAGGAATATCGGATTCAATGTCGGCTTTAGAGGAATGTTGGATTTAAGGAATATCGAATTTAAGGATTGTCGGATTTAAGGAATATCGGATTTAAGGAACATCGGAATCAAGGAATATCGGATTTAATGTCGGCTTTAGAGGAATGTTGGATTTAAGGAATATCGGATTTAAGGAAGGTCGGATTTAAGGAATATCGGATTTAAGGAATATCGGATTTAGGGAATATTGGTTTTAAGGAATATCGGATTTAAGGAATTTCGGATTTAAGGAATGTCGGATTTAAGGACGCATCCGTGTATCACATGGGCTTTAACCAAAAGACTTTATATTTCTAAAGAACGAATTTTCACAAATGCTCGAACAAATCATTCATTAAGGCTGTGTTTAGTTACGAGGTGCATAATAACTAGAAATGAATTGTTTTTCATCATTTCATCCCAAGCAAGGCAATAAAGCCACTAAACGGTTCATGAGTGTGAGAGAATACGAGAAAAAGAAGAAAAAAAAACATTATTAAGAGGAGAGGACAATAAAAGAAGAGGAATTAAGAGGACAGAAGATAATTTGTCGAATTGTATCTCATTTATTGACACTCCTCGGAACATTTCATGGTTAAAAACATTAAAAAATAAATTTGATGCATTTTGTTTCATACAGATTTAGAAATATCATCCGGTTCACACTCCTCCCCTATCTTTTGAACATGAATAGAGGATTATCCATTGTTTAGAGTTTAAGACTGGATTTTCAATTCCTTCTAAAGTTTTCTTATTCCATTTCACCTCCAAAAGCACCTTGTTTTTTTAGTGGTGTTACAGGCTTGCTTTTCTTTTTTTGTTAGCAAAAAAGTAAAAACAAAAGCAAACTAGACAGATATGGAAAAACTCAATTCGTTTTTTAAAAAACAGTTTTGACTGGGTACTATGCCAACAGTATAATACCCGTCAAAAACTGATGGGATTATTTACTTATGAATCTTTGGATATTCTACTGCTGATTACAAAACAATTTATTAATATGAGCAAAGAAAAGTATGTAAAATTGTTTTATTTGATATTTTATACAGTTTAACGTACCATTGGTTATTTGCGAAGTGAACGTCTTGGTATTGACTAAACGATGTTCATTAAAAGCGGGGATCTACAGAACCTTTTTGCAAAACGATGGATTTATCGGGTTTAAAAAATTATCGGAATTAAGGAACGCAATCTTCGCCTAAATACTTTCCATCCTGGGTAAGACGATAAACTACATCCGCGTCCTGGGTAAGACGATAAACTACGTCCGCGTCCTAGGTAAGACGATAAACTATGTCCGCGTCCTAGGTAAGACGATAAACTATATCCGCGTCCTGGGTAAGACGATAAACTACATCCGCGTCCTAGGTAAGACGATAAACTATATCCGCGTCCTGGGTAAGACGGTAAACTACGTCCGCGTCCTGGTTAAGGCGATAAACTATATCCGCGTCCTGGGTAAGACGATAAACTACGTCCGCGTCCTGGTTAAGACGATAAACTATTTCCGCGTCCTGGGTAAGACAATAAACTACATCCGCGTCCTGGTTAAGACGATAAACTATATCCGCGTCCTGGGTAAGACGATAAACTACATCCATGTCTTGGGTATGTGGATAAACTACATCCACGTCCTGGGTATGATGATAAACTACATCCGCGTACTGGCTAAGACGATAAACTTACGTCCGACAGCAAGGCCTCTGATCAGCAGGTTTTGAGAAGCGTGAAACTACCTCTTAATTGCTGGTGTTCCCAGGTCCATCCTGATCCGGGGTGGTAGCGCCTGTCAGGGTCCCAGCTATGGGCAAATAGTTAACCCTAAAACTGGCGTCAAAACACTATGAAATTATAAAATTAGGCTTTAATACAAGCAATACATTTTTCTAAAAAATTTCCAGCAATGAATTTTTGAAGGAAAAAATTATGACAAGCAATACATTTTTGAAAAAAAATATATTACCAGCAATATTTTTGAAAAAAAAATATATTGCCAGCAATACATTTTTAATATATATATATATATATATATATATATATATATATATATATATATGTGTGTGTATGTATGTATGTATGTATGTATGTATATTACCAGCAATACATTTTTTGGAAAGAAAATATATTACTAGCAGTACATTTTAGAACAAAAATATTACCAGCAATAAAAATCTTGTCAGCATTAAATAACCCATTGAGATTGATATGCTGTAAAACAATACAAACCAAACCAAATGAAATACTTTTTAAACGAGTTTTTACCGTATCTTTCAATAATTGAAGGCGCTTTGAGAATTTGAAGAGCATATTAGAAGCAACAGAAGGATGATGAGAATTCCATCGATTAAATATGTAGGTTCATGATAATTTAATGCGTCGTATTTGTAATATGAGGACAGGCCTGGTCATGCAGAATAATCTCTGGTTATGTTTCTTGCTAAGAAAAAAAAGTTGTAATACGACATTCAAACAAGCCAGTTGCTCAATCTATCGTTGCACAGTGACAGTTCCAGTAAATCGTTAAAATGAAGTATATTGAATTCCGTCGTAGGAAATAGTTTAGTGCGTCGTATTTGTAATACGAGGTCAGGTCTTATCATGCAATAAAATCTCTGGTCGTGTCTCTTGTTAAGAAAAAAAAAGTTTTCTTTGTTGTAATACACCATTCAAACAAGCCAGTTGCTCAATCTATCGTTGCGTATTGATAGTTCCAGCAAATTGTTAAAAAGAAGTTTATTGAATCTCGCTGTAGTAAATAACAGAATATTGGGTTTTCCTTAATCCGAAGAATACTGCTAACACTTTCATTTCATTTCTAGAAGACAAAAAAAAAAAAAAAATACAGGACTTATATAAATAAAGTTCTTGGAATTAACACAGTTAAATATTTCAGCAAACAATTTTGCAATGTTGTTAAAGTTAAATGCGGGATTGAATAAAAACAACAATACACGTTGTACACGTCCGAAGAAGGAAAGTGTTGAAATGAAGTGTTTAAAGTTGTTGCGTATATGCATGTCTGTGTCGACATGTACGTGAATAAATGTGCGTTGGTAGGGAGAAATGTAAGTGCCCCTTTTTTTTTGCATATGTGAGAAAAAATAGATCTGTAACGGCAGAACTCCTCTGATGTGTAGTTTCTCGGAAGGTTGTCGATGTTGTGTGATGGCTAACGACCCGGATTATTCGGACTTGGAGTTCGAATTCAAGTTGATTTTGTTGCAATTTATTTTTGTGCAAATATTCTTTGGAAGGTTATGAATTCATCTCTTCTCCCCTACTTATGGGCTAAAGTGTATGATAGAAGTTTTTTAGCAGCCACTGTAAGAGCAGGGACAATTTTGAATCCAGAACGGGTTGAGTTAGCAACCTTGTTTCGCAAAAAAAAACCCCAAAAAACAAAAAAAACAAAAAACAAAAACAAACAAAAAAAAACTAGTTAATATGAAGACCTTAGCAGCAACGGTTAGCGTGTTGAGAGAGCTATGACTCATACAACTCAGTGGGAGATATGGGACTTGAAAGTGTTGAATAATATCTGATGAGTAAAGGTATTTATAAGTCTACCATTCGTCCATGTCTTGAATATTGCCGCCACATATAACCCGGTGCACCCGCTGTATAGTTGGAGATTCTTGATAAAATCGAAAGAAGAATCAGCAATATTATTGGTACTGTCCTGGCATCTCAGCTACAGTCACATTCCCACCGTGTAATTTCTCTGAGAATTTCCTTGAAATACTTTCATGGTAGTTGTTCAGGTGAACTTTTCGCTATTTTTATCTACACAAGACAAATTGTACTTATGGAAACTAATTAGTTCTATCCAGCATAGTTGCAGTATAAAACACAGGTAGGCTCTGTGGCTGTTGAATAAACACTAATGCGCCTGAGCAAGCATCTGCAATAAGGATTGGCTAGTCGCCTTAGTAGACGGGTCTCCTCGAATACGAGTGGACAGCTATACTACACCCCTTGGGATGTAAGCCATTATGGTCCTCCTTTCCTTTAGCATCTGCAATTTACAATGCCAGCTTGGAATCGATAGAGGGTTGGTTCCCCAGTGGCTTCTCTACAGCTTCTCATAGACTGGCTGCCATTCAAGACTTGAAAGCGAAGTCTAGCCTATTAATAACCTACAGGTGGGGTCGGTGTTAAAAAAAAATAGATTCATGTCTTTTTAAAGGACATTAGCACGAAATAGACGAGGAACTTCAAATCATCTCATACAGGCTTATGGATCTGACACATTTTGTTTATATACAAAGTCTATTTTGGGGATCTTTTTTTGTTGAGGAATTTGACCCTCAAAAACAAATTGCGTTCTACACGGTGAAGGTCAGGCTTGTATACAAGATTGGTGATCTACAAATTCCACGTATATTCATAGAGACGTGGTATATTTCCCCAATACATGCATAGTTTATCTATCTATCTATCTATCTATCTATCTATCTATCTATCTATCTCAATTTCATTCTTTCTTTCTATTTACCTATTTCCGTCTCCTAATATCAATGTACTTATCTATATGTCTATCGCAGTCAGTTTCTTTCTTTCTTTCTTTCTCCTTCTCGTCATATCAATGTATCTATTTATATGTATATATATATCTCAGTCAGTCAGTTTCTTTCTTTCTTTCTTTCTTTCTTTCTTTCTTTCTTTCTTTCTCAGTCAGGTTCTATCTATCTATCTATCTATCTATCTATCTATCTATCAGCACGAGCCGGACAATACATATGTGTGTGTGCTTGTATGTTTCTGTAAACGCATTGCACAGCTAATTATATATATATATATATATATATATATATATATATATATATATATATATATATATATATATATATATATATATATATAGAGAGAGAGAGAGAGAGAGAGAGAGAGAGCGGTGGATAGCGGCTTGGATTGAGGAATCAGAGAGCCGAGTTCGAATTCCAGTCGAATCTATTACATTCACTTATGTGCTAATACGCTTGGGAAAAGGTGTGAATCCTCTTCTTCTCCCCCCAGCTATGGGTAAATGTAAATAGCAGGGCAGACTGGGTTCTATAGCGCTGGATGGCAACTGATCTAGGAGAAGGACAACTCTGAATTCAAAACCTGCAGAGGGTCGTTTGTGGACCTTGTGGCACTTAGTGCACCAGGTCTCTGTATTCGGCCCTTCAAAAAGTGTGAATGGTCCTGCACGAAACCTTCACCACTATAATTAAATCTCATGTGCTGTTGTCTGGCTGTTGGTTTCCTAGGAACTGATCTGCTTGACCCTTATATGTCGAATTCGACGGGAGAGTCGAGTATATATTTATATATACACTCACTAGTTATCGGCCGATATTTAAGCTAGCTTCTGAGGAGGGCTTCTACAAATGGGCTCCTGCTTGGGCATTCGGCTTGTTCAGGTGTTTACATATTCTCAGTATTGGAATCTTTCCTGGCTGCCGTTTGAGCTGGGTTTTCATTTGCACCGGACTTTCTGTTCCTCACTGCAGCCTTGCCATTTCTTTGATTGCAATCTTGTCCTCTGTTGGTGGAGATTTCTTTTTTGCTGCCGTATGCGATAAGCAACAATAAACTGCAGAAGAACTCAAAATTAATCGCAGCATTTAAAGTATTGCATTAATATTTAAGCTTACCTTTTAAAAGTTCAATGATCATTATTCTTCCGCCACTTAATTTAAAGACAATTATTTTTATTTCATGGGTGACTTTCGCTGGATTTTGCAATTAATTTTTGATTATTCCCAAATTTATTTCCATGTTATGAAAACTTTTATCGTAGAAAAATTCGTCGCAAAAAATCACATAAAAAACCGCCGAAAATAAATCAGAATCCAAAATGACTGTAACATAAGCTATTGAAAGTTAGAGAGTTGCGTCCCTTTAATTGAAAAATTGTGACACACTGACATTTCAATTTATGATATATATGGCGTTTGTTTACATTCGTAAAAAAAAACAATACGCTAGATTTAGCTGCATCTCTCTGCCGAATGAAGATAGCTCAGTGGTAGGAACTCTGACTGATACCAAATTGGTTGGGTGTCGATCCGGGTTTGAGGCATTCGGATGACTAGTCGAGGATCTGTGCCGAAGGATATAATGACACATATATATATATATATATATATATATATATATATATATATATATGTGTGTGTGTGAATGTTAACCAAGTTTCATAGCAGCAGACCTAGCATTTGATGAAATATATTGAAATTTTGTTCACACACACATATATATATATATATATATATATATATATATATATATATATATATATATATATATATATATATATATATATATATATATATATATATATATATATATATATATATATATATATATATATATATATATATATATATATATATATTATTAGGCAGCATATATTTTATATATAAGAAATAATCATATAGAATCAATCAGCAATATTAATGCGAAAATTCGCCATTAATCGCATTAATATTGGTGATTGATCCTATGTATGAATATATATATATATATATATATATATATATATATATATGAAACATTTCTCAGAGTTAACCTGTAGAAAAGACAATATTTATAAATATAATTGACAATAGGAAAACTGTAGTTATTGCTGACGCGTTTCGTCCAATGTGGACTTTCTCAAAGTAAAAAACGAAATGCATTTCGTTTTTTGCTTTGAATCAGCAATAACTACAGCTTTCCTATTGTCATATATATATATATATGTGTGTGTGTGTGTGTGTGTGTGTGTGTGTGTGTGTGGGTGTGTGTGTGTGTGTGTGTGGTTAATATGAGATATGTTATGTGATCCTTTTTTAAAATGATTTGGAAAAGGCGCTGGTCCATCGAACATGTCAATTTCTGAATCTTCACTGATGTCATTTCACGTGATACGTTGACTATTTCCTGCCATAAGCCATCTTTGCTTCTAAATTGGCGCCCATTCTCATAAGCACGTCGATTAGGAATGCTCCACAAGTTTTTAATTGGGTTTAAGTTTGGAGAATTGACCGGCAAGTTCATTTTTAGAGGTCCACAGAGGCCTAATTTCTATAGGTACTCTGTAGTTTTATATACTGAATGCGAAGAAGCATTATCTTGCATAAATACGAGGGTTATCCTGAAGGACGCTTAAACTTAATCTCTATCTATAAAAGGCAGGATGTGTGTGTGTGTGTGTAACAAATGCACGGCCGCAATTTTCGACGGATTTGCACCAAAATTTACATGCACATGCTCCAAGTTAGCGTCAAGGCTAAGACCGACTTTGCATTTCCCAACTCCCATTGATAGTGGAAATAATCGATTTTTTCATGCTTCTACGGCACTTTTCATGTAGTTTGCGGCCATTTTCTACTGGCCAGAGTGAGAGCCAATAGCTGGCTGCCACGAATAGGCAGGAAGATTCTATTGGCCAGCGTGAGAGCCAACAGCTGACTGACATGAATGTTAACTGGCATGCTAGCATGCAAAAAATTCGATAGCTGCATTTGTCACAAGTGGGAAAAATTTAAATCTGCATGGCACTTTACTCCAATTGGCTCATTCGCTTGCTTGAACTCAACGTTGATTCTGATTCCGCAGAACTGGGTTGGGTGTGAAAAAGTATTTGTTGTTAACTGGGGTTTTTTTTCATTTGGTTTTTCCAGTTACGAGTCCTTTTTTAAAGCTGATCGTTTTGTGTTCATTTTGTTTAGTTCTTTTTCCGTAACAAATTTAATGTTTAGTATAGAGCTTAGAAAAAATTCACAGTGTGAGATAAGCAAGAAGTAAGGCATGTAGCAACATCAGCACGGCAAAGGGCACTCCTTTAAAGGCAAGGAAAGGTAAAAATATTTTAAGTCAAGTGATAGTGATTGCTGTATGAGTCGTACGATTTTTGAATCAAGCCCAGGCAACGCTGGGCCATGCTGCTAGTTCACATTTAAAATCGATCCAAGTTATTGGAACACCCTTTATTTGCTTAGATTATCTTATCTAGCTGCTCTCTCTCTCTCTCCGGGTTTACACGTAACACATAATCGTATTTAGTGTCACTGGAAAAATTTGAAAAAAAAAAAAAACGAGTTTAATTTTATGTTTTAACGTCTTTTTTTTCCTATAGAATGTTTCTTTGGACATTTCAGTGCAAAATGGTTTCTACTGATGCAAAATTTACATTTTCAGCCCCACGCTGGGCATGACACTTTCCGTCTTTCGTGTGTCTTGCCACAGAAATTATAGTTTATTCCTCCCTGTCTATGGCATTTCTCTTTGCAGCTTCGTTTTTGCATTTTGTTTATTTCGTCTGTCACGTTCGTGTCTCTCATAGCTTTCAACTGTGTAGTCGTAGCTTCACAACTTCGGCAGATGTCAATACATTGTTTAAGATTTAGTGTTGAAAGCTGTAGCATTCTTTTACGTGACTGGTTGTCTCTTAGACCCAGCACTATGCGATCGCGTAGCAAGGAATCATATAAACATTCACAAACATTGCAAGACATTGCTAGGTTACGAAGCGGGGTTAGATTTGAATTAATATACACACCTTTCTTCCTGATCTCTTTTATTGAAGATATATCGTTCATACGTCTCGTTGGTCAGGCCGATAGAATGTTGATCAAACTTGGCTGTTATTGTGTCTAAATCGTCTTTGTTTTCCGTTGAATCGAACTGTAAAACACTGTAAACTACGCGTCTGGTCCAATGACCGTTTGGTATTCTTTATTTTGTTCAGCAGTTCAATCACGATGCTGTAGTTATTCCACATCTGTTTCCAGATCATTCTGAAGCATTTGTTTGGTATCCAGCTTGAAGAAATGTTTGGCTGGAATCCTTCCGCCATTTTCACGGACGTGTTCACTTTTTTTTTTTTTTTCGCCACTCCAAATGCCGGACGCAACTGAAACAGCTTACGCGGGATTGCCTTTCTTTGTTGATATCAGTCCTCATTTGCAGGGTTGTAAAGCTTGAATTACTTCCTCGCTGCCACCATGTTACATTAAGACATGGAAAACAGGACAGACTTAGATTTGAGAGAGAGTCGACACAAAACGAGGCCGACGTTTAATAGACACCGGAAGTAAGAGAAAGAGAAATAGTTTAAGGAGAAAAGGAACGTATCAGGCAGTGAGAATCACGTTCCTTGACGTTGATTAGGGAGCATACATTAAACTGTAATGCAAAGGGAGTATACATTAAACAATAATGTAACGAACATAAACATATGGCCAAAATAATGCCAAACGAACGTGAAAATGGTTTACTCCTGTTCGCAAAAATGAAATCTCATTAAGTTAATTAGTAAGACTAACTTATTCAAGAGAGAAGATGTGACGTATTGAGTAAATACAAATCTTATTATCTCCTTGAGCTTAGCCTTATTAGCCAATCAGAATGCTAATAAAGATTCGCTGCTGGTCAGTTGACTCCACGTTCATAATGGTGGCCCGTTGATTCAAATGTTAATCGTGTTTGAATTATTTTTTTAGACGTTTATAACAACATCATATCATATCAATTTCTATGGTACCTTCCCCGTTCGCTTAATGCCCTAAGCACGTGCTTACTTTGGTTAATAGTTAATCCGACCACCACACACACACACACACACACACACACACACACACACACACACACACACACACACACACATATATATATATATGTAATTATTTATTCGAAAATTATAACATAAATATGTTATAAAATCACTAAAAATAGCCAATTGGTTTCAACACCTCTGGTGTCTTATCAAGTGATGATGTTGAATATAGAATCTAAATGGCTATTTTTGTAGTGATTTTATAACATATTTATGTTATAATTTTAGAATAAATAATTATATTCGCTCTACTCTGTATTGAGCACTCTTTTAAGAATAGTAATTGTTGGTTATTGGAATTTATTCTGTATACACCAATCCTATACTTGTATATATATACTTTGTTATATATATATATATATATATATATATATATATATATATATATATATATATATATGTACTGGGCACGTGGCTGAGTGGTTAGAATGTTCGCTTTCAGACCACGAGTAGACAGGCATCCACAGATACGAGTGGCCAGCCATTATATATACAATATACGCTATCACAATGAATCATTCGTACAAAATTAGTAAAGCTAATGATATAAAATCTTTAAATCCCTTCGCAAACAAAATTTTAAAGATGCATTAACCTAACAATCACTCGATGAATGTTATGATCCTTGATTTTTAAAATTATAAGCTGTATAAAGTCTTTCTTAAATACTCAAGTACCTTCGACTGTACATTATATATATATATATATATATATATATATATATATATATATATATATATAATTATTTATTTAAAATTCTAACATAAATATGTTATAAAATCACTACAAAACACCCATTTTGTTTGAACACCTTTGGTGTCTTATCAAATGATGATATATATATATATATATATACATACATATATATATATATATATATTATAAATTAACTGATTTAAAATATAGTTTCTTCGCTACACAGTAATAATCATATTTCAAAAACTGAAGCTAAAAACTTCAAATTTAATTATATAATTAAATTAAAAGCATTAGTTAGAAGCAACCATATTTTAAAATAGTTAATTTATTATATTTATGCTCTGTAAATTTGCATTGAGAACTGTTTTGTAAAACTAAAAATATCAATAAGAACACCGGATTATATATCTTACTGTTCTTTCGTTAAGTATATATATATATATATATATATATATATATATATATATATATATATATATGTAGTACAGGTAATCGATTCGTTGGTATATTATACAGGTGGATCCTAGTAATAATAATTATTAAAACTGACCAACAGAGAACTCGATGTTTTTATTTTAACAGACCGTACGTATTCTTTACAGCAAAACAAAAACAAAAACAAAACTTACCTCAACATAGAGGCAGATGATAGCCACGTACAGAGCGGCTTGAAATAGACTATCTCTATATTGAGGTAATTTCTGTTTTATTTTCTGTAATATATATATATATATATATATATATATATATATATGTAAAAGAGCAGGTAATTCGGCTATATATATATATAGTAGCCGAATTACCTCCTCCTTATATATATGTATGTATGTATATACTCACACACACACACACACACACACACACACACACACACATATATATATATATATATATATATATATATATATATATTTTTTTGTTTAAAAAAATATTATAATAAAGCTCTACTTCTGTATGGAGCACTGTCTTCTTAAAATAAAAAACAAAATACTAAGGATCTCCGGATTATGCAACCAACGTGTTCTTTCTATTTTCTGCATACCCGTGGACTATATATATATATATATATATATATATATATATATATATATATATATATATATATATATATATATATATATATATATATATATATATACATATATACATATATATATATATATATATATATATATATATATATATATATATATATATAGATATATATACTTACATATATATACACTTACATATATATATATATATATATATATAAACATATATATACATATATATATATATATCTATGTATATATATACATATATATATATATATATATATATATATATATATATATATATATATATATATATATATATATATATATATGGTAGCCGAATTACCCGCTCCTTGCTGCATGCCACACCTTTTTTTCTGTAAGAAAATGATGATTGATTTTAAAATATTGTTACAATATAAGGAGAAAAATGATGCTTTTCAATATTACTCAGTGATCTTCTCTATGCAGGAGTCATTCCTTTGTTCAAATTTAAATTTAATTTAAATCAAAGGGGAAAAAATCAGTGTGGTGAGGGCCCCCTTTGATCAAAATGAAATATACTTATCCAAGTGCCCTAGGAGTCATTCCCTTTATCAAATTTAAATCTAATTTAAACAAAAAGGAACAAATTCAGTGTTGGGGGTCTGCCACCTGGGACCTTCTTTGATCAAAATGAAATATACTTATCCAAATGCAATAGGAATAATTCCTTTGTTTAAATTTAAATTTAATTTAAATCAAAGTGAAAAAATAGGTAAGAGGGTTCTGCCTTATCTTATCGAAATATACTTATACTTATCAAATGTCCTGGGTAATGTAGTTTCAAAATATATATGGCTATGGCGCGGGGCGAGGGGAGGTCTAGCTCCAAAACTCTAGGAGAAGTTCGATAATAAACAGACAGATTATATATATATATATATATATATATATATATATATAGGGTGTACCGAAAATACTTTTACAAACATTGGAGGCGAGTTCCTGATACCAAAACAAGATAAAATGTCCATATAAACACATGTCCCAAAGGAAATATAAAATGTGTTTTTCGTGGTCAAGTGTACGATTGGATATCGATCTCCCTCGATCCATAGTTTGTTGTGCCACCGACCCGGTCTCAGCAACGCGACAATGAACAGCAGCAAAGGTTGGATGACTCGGCTGCCTCCGGTCTGGAAACGTAATCTGATACAGCCGTGCAGCCTCACGTCCATTACCATTCGCTCGGCCGTATGTAAAAATCATATCTCTCTGCTCACGATATGAACATCCTGTAATTGTTAAACGGAACACTTCTCAGTTAACTCACTACTACACACGTTAAACGTTGAAGACAGACTAGCCAGAAATGTACACGAATAACAAATGTAACATAGTCTACATTCTCTTGACAGAGCCATCTACCGTAAACTTTATTTAAACTTAATAACTCAAAATCGAAGAATTTGCGGACATATGTCTAAGTGGACTTTTGTCCTTGTTTTAGTATGCGGAACCCGCCCCAATGTTTGTAAAATCATTTTGATACACGCTGTATATACACTCTGTATATACACTCTGTATACACACCCTGTATATACACTCTGTATATACACTCTGTATATACACTCTGTATACACACTCTGTATATACACTCTGTATATACACTCTGTATACACACCCTGTATATATGCAATTTACTCTGCTTGTTTGAAAGAGATTCAAAGCGAGGAATAGCGGTTGGTGTATGAGTAGGCGACGGGTAGAGGCCATATGCGAAAGAGACTGATTTGTTTTCAGCGAGGCCATTGTGCCGGGTGGAAATGAGAGACCTGGAGTGGATGACGGACATGGTTACCACAGGGACATCAAAGCGAACGCGAAATAACAGGAGGTGAACAATGCCAGCTTGTTCAGAACTTGTGTAAGTTTGTCTGCACGGAGAAGAGTCTGTGTGAGCCCATACACTTGCAGGAAAGACAAAAGACTCTCCCACACACACACATATTATGCGTATGTATAGATGTGAACAGGTTTAGATTCACGTACACGAAGATAGACGGTGGATAAGCATACAAATGTTAGGTTATATAACATTTAGTCGGGTATATCTGGGAAAAAAACGATTTTGATATGTTTTCATCTCGGTTTGTTTATATCTATCTATCTATCTATCTATCTATCTATCTATCTATCTATCTATCTATCTATCTATCTAATTTCAATCTGTTCGTATCTATATATCTATTCCAGTCTGTTCAGATCTATCTATGTCATTTTGTTCAAATCTATCTATCTATCTATCTATCTATCTATCTATCTATCTATCTATCTATCTATCTATCTATCTATCTATCACAGTCAGTTTCTATCTATCCATCTAACCATCTCAATCAGTTCATATCTATCTATCTATCTATCTATCTATCTATCTATCTATCTATCTATCATTAGTATAGAGAGGATTGGGTAGCTCCACTCCAGTTATGGCACCAATACTCCATTTTAGTTTGATTTAATACTTGTAATATATATATATATATATATATATATATATATATATATATATATATATATGTGT